CAAGGGCTCAGAGGCACAGAGCTGATGTCCAGTTCCCCACGCTGAGACAGCAAATGGCAGCTCTGGGATTTGAAAACCAAGCAGCCTGGCCCCAGAGCCTGTGTTCTTCCTTGCTAACCCAGGCTGCCCAGTGAAGATGCTGCGCCCAGCCTCTACATCCAGCCTCTACACCGTCACTGACCCATCAGTGAGCCTGGGCGAGGGCCAGTCCCCCGCTGTGGCGAGCCTGTTGCCTCCAAATGCCCAGAGCCTCCGCCCCTCCATCTAAAGCCATGCTTCTCAGCTGTGAGCGATTTCTGCCCCTGGGGTCACACGCAATGTCTGGAGACGTTTCTGGTTGTCATGAATGGGAGAATGGGGGATGCTACTGGCATCTAGTAAAGTAGAAGTCAGGGATGCTCTGCTGCTCAGTACCAGTCACACAGGATACACTCCCACAACACAGATTATCCAGCCCCAGATGCCAAGAGCTGAGGTTCAGAAACCCTGATCTAGATACTTGGCTGATGACCGCAGCAACATGCAAAAAGCAACGAGCAGAATATTCCAGGTGATTCATTCTCGTTACCTGGAACATTATTTCTCTCCTCAAATCATTGGCTTTCTTCTTGCCCTGGAATTTCAACATTATCCCATGTCACTGTGCCCAATGCCTACACTGAATAATAATCTTATAAAGTAACTCTTACACATGAACAGCAACAGCAGAAATAAGAAATGGAAAGACGAGCAACAGGCAAGAGAAAAAATGAGCATTCGAATACAAAATAAATCCTTGATATCATCTACGAGCCTGAAACATGAATGTGTTTTTCTGGATACCCTAAAGCCAAAGTCGTACCCTGTGCCCACATCAAACTTGGATTGCCACGAACACCGTTTTGGCTAAACACACACGTGATTGCGCCCATTTCATAAAAAAACAATTTTAATAGAAAAGTACAGGGTATGAACAAAAATAAATAATCTTTATCTCATTTCTAGCCCAGCAAATTGTACACTGCATATAAAACTGGCCTAAGATGCAATTTTCCTCCATCCTTTTTTGCTCTTGAGATACTAAGACAGCATTTTAATTAAATCTTCTAAACTCCGATTGATACATATTTGTTTAAAAAATACCATGTGCTGACCTTTCGCCATTCTACATCCAGTTTTTTAAAGTTGACTGACAAGATGGTGTTTCACTAAAATATTACCCAGTCATCAGGTTTAGGTGTCAAGTCTGTGCGAACAGGTAAATTAGAAGATTCCTTCTCTAAGTTTTAATTCCTGCTTTGCCAAGTGCTTCCTGTATTCAACACTCATTTCATCGTCTCACTTTCAAAACACGGCATCTGTTTGGTGGCAGTTCCCGTTCCACTAAGAGAGGGAGGACTAAAAAATACTTGGAAAAATAAATATTTTAAAAGTATGCTTTACAGCGATAATGTAGTATCTTAGGCCTGTGCACGTTTGCATTACGTATATGCACCAAGGTTTAAGTACCTTTTCTGTCTCTCCGTTGTGGACCACTGGGTCTTTGGGGACTGGTTTTGCTAATGGTCTCCTGGAGTTGCCCGGTACCCATCTCTTACTTAGCGTACTTATCCTCTAGAGGGTTGTAGTTGGTCATTTCAGTGGCTTGAAGAATGTTTTGCAAAAACAAATTGAAAATTAGTACTGGCAAAATTGTATGAGAAAAGGGTTCAGGTAGGCTACGAAAACATACAGAGCTGGTCACAGGAGGTCAGCAGCTCCAAGAACTGGACGTGAAGCTTCCTTTTACTTAAACCCATAGCTGCTGTTTTGAACATGGCTCTGTTTGCTGCTGCCTACATATAAATGTTTTGTTAATTTTCCTGTATTGGGAAGATCTTGAATGCACTCCAGGATGAAGGAAAAAAAATATGCTGACGCTTCCAAATTGAGTATATGTTTTTGCAATAAAGAACACTGGTCAATATACAACGGAGGAAAAACTGAAACAGATGTGAGTCCTAGTAACCACAAGCGTTTGAATTTGCCCAGAAATGCTATTTTAAACACTCTATATGTTGGTCTACTGTTTTTTTGTGGAATAATGCATTCTTGGCATCCTTAAAAGGTTTCGATATGTTACAAGGTTATCCGGAAAGAAAAAAAAACACGCAGGACTAACATATCAATCTCAGCTGTGCGGGCCAGATTTCAGGGCATATTTTCAGAAAACACGAGAACTTGTATTAATTGCACTTAACACAACGAACCTTTAGTTTCCAATGAGTTTTCATTCTCTGCAGACCGAGGCTGGCTTTTCATGAAACTGCTTTCAAAGGGGCAGGAGACATGCAGTCCACAGTAACTTCAAATAGGTGTGACAGTGGCGGTAGTAAACACACACATACTTTTTTGGGGGCCTAAAATCCGGATCTTGGATAAAAGCAGGTGCCTTTTCAGTTTGTCTCTTAAGATGTTACATGCTCCAAAACAATTAAGTTACATGCATAATGCTAAAAGAACGTGAGCAATCCTATAACCAGCTTTAAGCCATCTGCTTGATGTGTTCTTTTTTTGAGGAATATATATAGGAAAAGAGAATTCCTTGTTGTTCCATTACATATAGAAATCTTTTGAAGCTTCCAAATAGTTGGGTTTAGGTAAAATCCTCAAAAAACTTCCACATGAAGTATCCGAAGGACAATTGAAACCACTTACCAATATACAAGAACATTTTATTTTATATTCTATCTTCCATTTGGCATAAGCCTTTCGATGTTTGTTTTTTAAAACCAGTGAAATATACAAATCACACGAGACAGAAATATGTACATTAAAAGTACAGAACAAAGGCCATAGAAGATATACATAATATCTGAATGACAAGTAGAATATTTTACATTAAATAGTTTCTTTTAAAAACTAGGATTGTTAAACTCAACTCTCTTCATAAACATGAATCGCTAAAAAGGAACAAAAATCTGGTTTAGCAAATAAAAAATTACTTCATGGTTTTTGTATAATAAAAACCAAAAAAGTGACATTTTAAGCTAATTAGTGCTTTTTAATTTCAAGACATTTTGCTCTGCAACTCGCTGCAACTGAGGGGAAGTGAATATTCTTTGTGCAATAAATTAAGAGCCACGGATGGCTGAGGTGACATGAAGGGTTACAGGAGACATGAACTTTCCAAATTTTAAAACAATGGAAGTCTTAAGAGAAGAATACATTTGATGGCGCTTTCTGAAAAAGGGTGTCCTTGTTAAAAATGAAATTTAAAATATGTACGTTGTGAGCTGGATTTCCCGTAGGGATTAAATTAGCTACTATCTGCTCAAACAGGCATTGGAAATGAACTGAAGAATGAGAAATTCTGACAATACCTCTGAGTTTTGAATCTCTCTTCATATCCACGTCTATGACGAACAAGTAATGCCCTCTCCGTACAGAAATGGAAGCTGGAGAAAGGGGGGTAGGGCAGGGAAGATAAAAGGAATCTTCAAACCAACATGTTATCAGTGAGCAAGACCTTCCAGATTCTTCGGAAACAAGGCTGCTTAGGGATGCACGAGGTGTGACCACATAAGGACCATGGCCCAAGCTCAACTCAGGAACCTTTTGGAAAAATCCCGACCGGACTTTGATAAAGCATAACGATGCTCTAGATGGAGAAATAACCCCACAGTAAACTGTAAATCTAAATCACTGGCTGCACTGAGATATAATTTATATATATATATGTGTATATATATATATAATATATATATGTATATATATATATGTTATGTACAAAAAGACTTTGAGAGATCAGGCACCATTAAACCAGATTACCCTCCCACCCTTTTAAATGCAACTGTCCAAGTACACTTTTAGGGTACACCTGCGGTGCAAAATGGGAAAACTCGAGTGGGTAGCCTAAACACAGGATCAGAACAGTGAAACAGCAGCACCTCTGAACTCCAGGCACTGTCATTAAAACATCTTAAACTGCTCCTCAAAAAAGGTCTTAGAAAAAAAATCCCTAAGTAGCAAACTGTTTTCCAAATGGAGCTCCTAATGTTTCAGTTCCTGTTCTACAATTACAGGAGGCAGTGGGGCTGCCCGTGGGGCTGCCCTTGGGGCAACGGGGGCCAGCATCACCCCACAGCACCATGGGGATCAGAGAGGGCCTGGGGTCAAGTGGGAGGGCGGGGTTTAATTTTTTCCCCTCAAATAGGTGGTTTTCTGCTCTGGGGCCGTGCTGAATTGTGCGCAACTACCTTGCTGTCTAGGCTGAGGATCTCTGAATGGGATCCCTTTATTATCATTTAATAACCAAGAAAACGACAGGATATTTTCCTGTATAGTCAAGCCAATCTCCCTCTCCAGCCAAAAAGTCTAGGACCCAGTCGGGGACCTTTTCCAATCTGAAACCTAATTCCTATAACAGCTGCAAATCAATATCCTAATACAGGAGTTGGGAAGATTTTTCCTTTCTGGGAGCTCTGCTCCTTCAAGTTTTAGGAGCTATTAGAATAGGACCATCTGGAGATGGAATGTTTGAGAAGACTCGAATGATGCAGCTTTTTCTTTGAGGAATAGGAGATGTTTGCTCTTACATTTTAAACTACCAGTCTGAGAATGTTTCAGGCTGCCAGCCCCTTGGGGAAGGCTGGGGGAGACAGGGTCTCATTTTTTTTGTTTCTCAAGACCCTTCCGTTCCCGCCAGACCATTTACAATTCACTTTGGTCTCAGACGCTGAATCACGCATAGGTTGGTACCACCTTCTTCCAGTTGGCTGCTACCTGTCCATCTGACCCCACAGTTGAGAAAAAGAAAACATATTTGACTTCCTCGGTGAGCACACAACCAAGTTAAGAGTATGTTATTCCCTCTCCTCCCCTACCATCAAAAGTCGTCTAGTCTTACCTTTTCAAAGATCCACAAAATAAATATCTTTCTTGGTTCCCAACTCCCTTTCTTGCCAAATAATAATTATATTATTAATAATAAACCACAGAGTTCTTAGACAGGACTCGGGGGGGAAACTGGTTTGGGTTGCAATTCTTGGGGAAAACCAAAATATTAAAAAAAAAAAAAAAAACCAACCAGAATCACTGTATTTTCTATAAATAAGTGGGTCCTGGGAGTGGGGCTGGGTGGCAGGCAGGCGCCTGCTATTTGCACACGAACTGGTCCACGACCGCCGTGCACTTCCTGCACTTGACGTAGCAGCACCAGTGGAACTTGCAGTGGCAGCGCTCGGTCTGCACGGTCTTGAACTGGTCGTAGCCGCGGCCGCAGCACATGAGCTCGCAGCCGTCCATGCCCTCGGACGTCTTGTTGCACAGGCGGCCCTGCGTGCCCAGCGAGCCGGTGCTCTCGTTGCGCACGCAATAGTCAGGGCTGGGGTCAATGTAGACCAGGTCCTGCGTGGTGGGCGAGTTGAAGCGGCTGTTAACCTGCACCAGCTTGCCCCGGCTGTTGAGCCGCATGGCCGCCGCGCTGTCATACTTCTCCTTCAGGGCGTCGCCCACCTTGCGGAAGTCGGCCAGCTGCAGCCAGCACGTCTTGAGGCTGCACGAGCCGGACACCCCGTGGCACTTGCAGGCCACGTCCGCCAGGTTGTACACCGTCTGTGGGGAGATGAGGAGAGTGAGTGCACAGGCGGTGGAGGCGCCGCTTCCACCAGCTCCACAGGGGAGGGGCCAGGCTACTGCCGCCTCCTTTAATGTTCTTAGCCCCTTATTATCACACATCATCAGAATGAACAACCAGGTTTTGAAAGGGAAAACAGGAAAAAATCATCACGCTGGTTGCTGCTTCTGTTTGCAGGGAATCAGCAGCAGCTAATGCATCTGGAACACTCAAGAGCAGAGACCCGTCTGGCTTGTTCCCTGCAGCACCCGGCTCAGTCCCCACAGTCAGCCTATATGGTAAGTGCTGTTATCATCCCCGGTTCACAGAGAAGGAAAGGGGGGGCCCCTGGCAGGAGGGGTGCCAGGCCTTAGCCGGGGCAGCTGAGTTCCCAAGGCACTGATGGAAGAGCAGGGAGGGCGTCCAGCCCGGGCCGAATGGGGGCTGGGACCTGGACCCCCCATTACCGCTCCAACTGCTGTGGGCCAGGCCCTGCCAGAAGAGCCCTCACCCTCTATCATCTACTCCTCCCGACAGCATCAATGCGTGGCCCAGGCCAGAGTGTGGGACCTGGGCCTGGATACCAGGGATGCGCATTCCTGCTCCCCCTCAGTCACCAGCCCTGGGCCCCAGCACACTGGGTTTCCCTCCTGACTCTGCCCGGGATTTGGGCCACTGGCTTCACCTCTCTGAGGCCCAGTTTTCCATCTGTGATGGGGACTGTGCGGGTACCAACCTCACAGCATTGTGTAAGGATAAAATCAGGGATGTGTGCAAAGTGCTCCGCGTGCCGGATGCGATCAGTAGATCTGGTCTTCCTCCAGGGTGACGAGGGATTGGCGACTGGGTGCTGGTCCTGGGCGCCGGCCCCATCCCTGTGCCGTGACCTCCCAGGAACAGTACCCCTGCGTCTGGCCCCAGCCCACTGCGCCCAACAGTCTGGGAGGTGACAGCTGCTTGTTTATAGTCCCCACTGTCCACGATTCCCGTACCAGTGACCCTCCAGAGGCAGAGTGGTGTTGGTGCACTGCAGAGGGCCTGTCAGGAGGCTGGAGGGAGCAAGGTGCCTGCTGCCACCCAGCACCACACCTTTCTTCCTCAGAGAATGCCTAAGGTGCATTCTGATAAAGGCAGCTAACCGTTCTTCCTTGGCATAAAGAGTTTCAGACACACAGCTAGTCTGAGGAAGGGTTTTGCAAATGTGTTTAACCTTTGCTCCCCTTTGAGGAAAATAAAAAGCTAATACCCCCAGGAGAGTATAATATGCTTTCCTGGCACAGTATCCACCTTCCCTACCCCCATCTCCTCTACTCTGGAAAAAAACTGTTCCATGTAACCTCATCCACCAGGATCCGAGCTCAGCTCACTGCTCAAGTTATAAAATTTAGAAAAAGAACCCACTACTTTAAAATATAGATGGTAAGTGAAATTGTATCAAAGGTGCTTTTCCAACTCTCAAAATCCTGTATCTACTTGGACACCCCTTTACCTTCTCCCCTTGGTCACCAAGTCCCTGAGGATTTCTACACAGGAAAGAAACCTATGAAACCCCCAAAGATGGATGAAAGCACCAAATATGGGTACAGTGGGGCCCAGCAGAGGGAAGCACACCTCTGTCCTGGGCTCCCAGAAGGTGGGGGCTGCCATGGCCGTTACATGGCCTTGGGTTCGCTCCCGCGGGGAGAGACAGTCCATCCAGTCAGACACCAGAGCGACAGGAGACCACGCCCGCTCTGCAGAGATTATCTGAGCCCTTAAGTCACTACAGGCAAAATTCTGCGGTACCTAGGCCTGTCTGACACCCCCTTAACAGGTTAGCTGGAACTGTCTAGATCATCTTCGGCTTCTCTGTGTCCTTTGCTTCATAATCTCTAGTAAGGAAGTTGTTGCTCACCAAGCATTTACTACTGGCTGACACTAACCTCAAACCTTCCATCGAACCGCAGGGAATTGTTTTGCAAGTCAGAAATACTCACGTATTGGTAATTCCGTCTGGTTCAGCCTACTTACTGTATGCTCCCAGTCAGTCCTCACATAATCCCAAATGAGAGTTAATGCCATGGCCAGGCAACAGATAAGGCCATGGGGATACTGAGGCTCAGAAACAGAAAGCAACAGCCAGAACTGGACTTTTAACCTAGATGACTTTAATTCCCAAAACAATAGCCCTTTGCTTCAGCACTATGACGCAGGAGGTTAATAAGAAGTACCTGGGCTCCTATCTCAATTATCAGTTTTCTTCCATGGCCATGAAGTGGCTCTTGCAGCCTCCGTTTCCCCATCTTCCAAATGAGGATGTGCACGGAGAGAGAGGTTCTAAGGCTCTGCCCAGTCCTCTATGGTTTACGCTGTGATTATCTTCCCTTTTCCTCGCCCCAAAATACAGAATTGTCAACTCTCTGACCAGAGAGTTCCTGGCACCTACCTTGGGTTCTGTGAAAAAATAATGGCCTTGGTTTTCGACGCTGCCAAAGTTAAGAAAAGTTTTCACCCCTTCATTTTAAAGCAGCCATAAAGTCCCATGTGTTCAACCACAGGCAAAAAAATAAAAAGGGGGGGGGTCTTTTTAACTATTGTGGCTTTTCATATCCCCACCAGGAGAAGAAAAGGGCAGAACAACGCTGCTGCTGAGGGCTCTCAAGGACGGGCACCTCTGGGCACCTCTGGGCACTGGCCCGGCGCTCTCTGCTCTCCAGAGCCACGCTGGATTGACCAGGCAGTCAGACCTGTGCATTTCCCTATCTAACACTGTTTTTGCAAAACAAGAAACCAAAAAGCCCTCAATGCATCAGGCCTGCGATCTAATGACACAGGGGGGTGAGAAGGACGGAAGTCCCGAAGTGGGGGGGAGGCCTGCTGGGCTGGGCACCTCCTGGCGGGAATAAGTCCCTCTCCCAGGTGAGGACCACGGTGCAGGGAGGAGGGCGCAGGCCAGGGCCGAGGTGTTTCTGAGCCAGCCGCGCTGGCCTGTCTCGCCGGGAGGAGCTGGGCACAGAAAGCCCCCTCTCGGCCCTGGGGGCGGGCGGGGTGCCTCCGAAGAGGGGCGCAGCGCCGGGAGGGGCCCGGGTGCGGGCGGGGCACTCACCCGGCGGCCGGCCTCGTTGTTGTGCAGGTTCATGAGGATGCGCGCGCTCTCGTACGAGCCCTTGGCGTGGATGCGCTCGCGCTCGCGCGCGTCCACGAACTCCTTGGCGAAGCGGTAGCCGTAGTCGATGTTGTCGCCGCAGCCGCCCCACAGCCAGTCGCGCGGCAGGTCCTTGGGGCGCGCGGCGCGGCTGCAGCCGCAGGTGGACAGCTCGCCCTCGCGGCAGGCGCGGCTCATGGCGTTGACCACCCCCGCGGCGCTCACCGCGTACGTGAAGGCCGTCTCGCGGCTGCCTGCGGGCCGGGGCGCCGTCAGAGCCGCGCCCCCGAGACGCCAGCCCCCGCCCCGGCCCGCCCTGCCCGACCCCGCGCCCCGGGGGGGGGCGCTCCGAAGCCGGGGGCCCTCCCTACGCCGACCTTAAGGCTTCCCATCATTGTCATTCCGCCTTGCACGACGTCTGCTACTAGGCTGAGAGTCTCTCCAGGTCTCGGGTCTGGACTGGCAGCCCGACCACCCTGCAGCCTCCGCACTCCCCGGGGCCACCGCAGTTCGGGCCTGGCGTCCCCGGCCTGTCTCAGGACACGGGCTCCGTGGCCCCGGTGCGCATTTCTAAACCTGGTTCGGGAGCGTTGTGCATGCAGCCTGCCTCTTACTTCTCATTCCAGAAGATCCCTGCCTACTTTGAAAACAGCCTGCCCCTCTTTAATGACACTTCTACAACTCCCGACAGCCTCTGCCTCAAAACGTTAGGGTAACAGCAAGAAGGAAAAGGCACCACCTAAGGGGAACAGAACCAAAAAGCGTTCTCCTCCCCCAAACTTGTCAAGACCATCTCCTTGTGAAGCAGTTACAGAAGAGCCCTATTTGTGAGGGGGAAGAAGCAGGGATCCTGTCTTCCCCTTATATGTGGAGCTATTTCCAGACTAACAAGAAGCCATTAATAAAAATGCTGCGCTCTGAGATGGAAAGGGTTAAAGCCAGGCCAGCTGAAGCTGGGCCTGGGGAGTGGGCAGGGGGTGGGGGTGGGGGGCTCACTTTTCTCAACTGTAAAATAAGGGTATTGACCTGGATGCCTATGGGGAAAGGCCCCTTCTGGAGCTGAGATCCCTGTATCAGAATTGATTTCTCCTACATTTACAGAGCTTGCTAACAATCTTCTTTTTTGTTGGGGTGGGGAGGCAGGTGGTACTAGAACAGCTGACAAGGGGACTCAACTCCAACCAGAAGGGTGGGACCGCAGGAAGAAGGGTATGTGAACGCCAGGGTCCAGCAGGCCACCCTTTTCTTGGACTTCTCTGCACTTCAACCCGCAGCCATTTGCCACCCCCCCTTTCAGGAATGGCAGTGGTTCCCATGTTCGACAGACCTTCCCTCCCACCTTTAAAGAAATGAATAACTTGAGGAGTGTGCTGGTGGTTGGCAGGAAGATCCAGAAAGTTCCTGTGGGGTGTCACATCTATCTAGGTCGAATCGGAGAGGCAAGACAACGTTGGGGGAGTGGAGAAGAATGGGGAGGACAGGCAGATTGCAGGGAGATATTTGAGGATTAACACCAATAACACAGAAAATGCTGGGGCCCTGGGCGGGAGATCTGTAGGATAAGAAGTAGCCAGAGGAGTAGAGATTAAATGGTCCTTAGGAGATAGAGGAAAATGAGACACTGTCCTGTGTGTACACAGAGCATAAAAGGGCTTTATACGAAACACAATAATGCTGCTTTCTTCTGAAGTCTATCCTGCGCATTTTGTTTTCTGCTCCACAATGCAAACCTGGTAGAAATCTCTAGGCTAAATGGTCACTGCAGGGAAGACGTCAGCTTGAAAAAGTGCTCTTTGGCTAATAGCCTGCGGCTGCAGTCATGGATGGACTAGGGCTGCCTGAGTTAGGCTTCCCTCCCTGGGAATCTCCATCTCCTCAGAGCCTCACACCCCCTTAAAAATGGGGCTTTTCTTATCTAGCTTTTCACAGTATGGAAACAAAGAGGAGAGGAGACAAAAGCTGGAGGGGAGGGGAGCCTGATGAACAATGAGAAAGCTTCCAAAATGAAGAGTGGCCCTTCACCAGGCGATTGTGTACAGTGCCTCCAGGGCAGCTGGCCCTCTAGAAAAATGAGTCGAAGAGGGATGGAAGTGGTGGCCTGTTCCAGACGCTGGCCCCAGTGCAGGGTCAGAGTCACTGACAAGACGCGCTGTCCACACCCCTGGGGCACTAGGGCTTTGGAGTCCATGCGCACACACTCCTTTCAGCAGTGAAGACGTGCAGCGTCCCCTTAGCCCACTCTCTTAACCCGCCTCCAGGGGCAAAGTGAAAGCTAAGCAACTCTCTCTCTTGGGATTGGGTTCCTGTTCCTCTTCTGCAAAAACCTATGTTGGGTTTTCTCCTCTCCATCTCAATTTCAAATAAAAGAGAGAGAGAAGGCCCTGGCAGTGTTCCACCACATGCCACCCAGCAGCAGCTTCCCGCTCTGAGACCCTGACACCTGGGGACCTGTTGGCAAGGGCACTGTCGTCTCCCGAGGACACGAGCCGGTAGAATCTAGGAAGCGGTCAGGAGGCTCCACTCCCAGCCACTTCCCAACCAGTAGACAGGAACACCACCCAGCTGAGGACTGGCGAGTGGACTTGCAAGGGACGATTAAATACAGGCCTTTGTACCAAGGGTTCTGCCTGTTCCCTGAGGAAGCAGCCTCTTTGAATCTTGGACCGCATTTTAAATAAATCTCCAGCAGAAGTCAAATCCACTTAGCAAATGATAGCTTATTCTGAACATTCTGGCCCCAAACAGGCTACAGATGAAGACAAGACGAGGCTCTTAAATCAGAGCTGTGTTCCAGTGACTATACAGAAAGAGGTAATAGCTGTTTCTCTCCTGGTTCCTATCAGACGTGTCTGATGTTTGCTAACTCCTACATGGGGAAAAGTACTCCTACAGTTTGTGGTGAAGGCAGGCGAGGGGGAACACACAAGGCAAAGGAGAGAGGGAGAAAGGTGACAACTGGCCGTTCAGATACAGCTCAAAAGTAAGCGTTTAGCTCGCTCACCCTATCAACGTGCAAGACAAGCAGATCTCCACCAAAGCTGCAGCTACCTATAGAAGGCAGCCAGCATTCAGGGTAGAACTGTTCCTGAAGCTGAACGCCTAGATTCAGAACCCCGTATATACATTAGCACATTTTAATCATTAACGGGAAGGACAAAGCCCCAGGAAAGTCTGCAGGCAGAGGCTGCCGACCATTTTCCCATTCAATTAGAGGAATGGCTTCCAGTCCTGTATTATTTTAGTTTATGAAGCTGCTTGGCTGAAACGTCTCCTCACAACTCCTTTTTGTTCTCAATGAATGCACTTTTCAGGGTTTTTAAAAAAGCATTTTATCCATCCGTGACGGATATTAAGCTAACTTTTTATCTTCAGTCAGCATAAACGGTTAATTGCTTTGATAAATTGCTTCTTATTTTAGGAGTCACTGCAGTCATATTAATTATAAGAGCTTGTTTGCATAAAAGTAAATGGACCTAAAATAATCACACTAGAAAACACAGAGGACCACATCTGTCAGATAATAGCCCACACCATTAGGCCAAACGAGAGGCAAACGGAATTTTCCAAAGTCTTTGCCTTTCATCCAGTTTTCAGGCCAGCTCGCCCCCTCCCTGAATGGAGTAACAAATTCAGCTACACACTTAAAGAATCGGACTGTGAACAACACATTAAAAAAATATATCAATTTTAAGTTTCTAGGTTGCAATATGCAGCACGTGCTCGGACGTCAAATTGCCAACGTTGCAAATGTAAATTGGACCACTCTCATTAAAATTCTTTCTAGGACCCAAAATAAGGCTTTTAACAGCTAGAGCTCTAAAGCCTCAGGAAACATCTAGATTAGGAAAATGAAAACCTTATTTGCTTCCAGATCCAGCATATGAAAAGATGGCAATTTTCAGGAGATGCTCAGGCCTTTTGAACTGTGGCTCCAGTTAGGAAACTCCTAACAGTTGAGGAGTGTTGAAGCTTAAAAGTCATGTAAGTGACTCCGCTCTCATCTACTTTTGAGAAACCAAAATAGGTGTTCTGCTTCTAGTCCAGACAAAATGCTTTTTAGACACATGAAGTGTTCAAAAAACCAAAGGGGTATTGGATGCTCCCCACTCCTGATTTGGCTAAAGAAAGCCAAGATGCATAATAACAATCAGGTGTGGGGACAGGCATGCCTACGGTAGCAATAAAGACAAAAATCCCCAGGCCATCGCCCTGCTGGAAGAGTCCCTTCTCGTCAAGCTTTTAATAAATACTAGGGGCTTTTCCTAGGAAGAGAGGGTATACTATTTAGAAATAGGTGAAACGGTTTCCTACCTATCTGCATGACCCTGCCAAAGACGGAGGTATTATCCACGGTGCTGCAGTTCCACCTGCGGTGCCGGAACTGGTACTGACACTCCTTGATGCCTGTCTTCGCGCCTTCCCCGATATACTGCATGTGGTCCTGATACAAGTGGCAGAGTTTCTTCTGTCCTTGAGAAAGTCCTGCCAGTTGGCTGCACAGAGGCTGTGCTCCTATGATATATACTTCTGACATCTGAACAGGGTTATTCATCCCTAGCGACCTGAAAAGAGGGGGAGAGGTGCATTCAAGATTTCCGTGAACTCTCCAAGTGGGCTCCCCCCACACCCCACCGAAAGTATGGCAGTAATACATAGTTCTAAGCACACAGATGCTTTTTCTCTCCTGCTTGTCCTCATGACAAAGTAGGAGAAGGGCTTCATAAAACTCCTCTGTTCAAACTGCGCTCAGAAAACGGAGGTATTGTGCAGTCCCCATCCGCCATTGGCTTCTCAGTTAAGAGTTTCCACTCCCTTCCCTGCCCTGGTTGCCATATACCTGAACCAGTATTTCCGAAATCCGCTCAGAAAAGGGGGAAATGGTGGTTTGGGGGATAGGCCCCCGGCATGAGAGACAGTGACTCATTTTGCCCCACAAATTGGACCGATCTGCTTGAAAATGTTTGCGTGCCAAACATAGCTACAATTAGACACAGGTAGGAGATGGCAGTGCGTTTTGGTGGACAGAAAGAACAGTAAGACAAGCGTATAGACTGAAAAGCAGTCACCATGTTCTGGACACTTGAAAAGGGCTCCTTATGTAATCGTGAAAGATCCAAGACAGGGTGTCCAGTGAACAGAAGTCATGTTTGACAGTCAGAAAAATGCTGTTCATTTACAGGAAAAAAAATATCCAGAAAGCCGTCAAAAACAATCCTCTAGATAGACTGCAGTCTACCTACTAGGCCCCCACCAAAAAGAAACCCGTGTTTAGGGACATTTGACTACTGCAAGTTACCCTTTCGATCAAATTTCAAGCCCACCTACTTCCCCACTTGGAGTTTAGCTGTCTTGCTAGAAGTCTGCCTACTTCAGACCCTGAAGGTTAATAACCTCAGGTGGCAGAAGATGAAAGTTGGAACTCACTTTTACTACCAAGAGGAGGCAAAAAATAAATTTTATAGATAGGTTTACAATTATTAGAGAAGTGAATTTCAGTTCCCTTTTATTATATGATGTACTACAGAACACACCTCTGAACAAGGACCTCATAGAAAAAGGTCTCGATTTATAGGTTCTGATTCCCTAGGGAGCTAAAGATAAGCTTTACTGCATTAGCAAATGAAAAGGGAATTCCAGTTTACAGTTATGTATATAAATAAAATATATCAAACGTATATGCATTACATCAAGGCACCCAATCTCACCGTTCAGCTTTTAAATACTGCAGCATCATACAAATGAATCTTAACAACAAAAAAAGAAAAAGCACATAAAAATCAACTCACCACCAAGAATTGGCTTCTATTACAACCTGGGCGAAGGAGTAAAATATGGCCAAGGCCATGAGAAAGAACTTGGGAGACATTGCACTTCCAGCCGTCCGCAAAGCAACTCCTGGGCGTAATATTCCAATCGACTTCTGCAGTGGGAAGAAAGGAGCAGATGTTTATTGCCTCTTAGATACTTTTCAAGCGCACAAGTTTAAACAACGGAAGCATCCGGGGTCTCTCTGTTGATTGTGCTTCTCCTCCGTGAGTTTTTTTTTTTTTTTTTGATGGCAAGAACCAAGCAGTTTCTTTTTCCAAGTTAATCCACCCACGCAACCTCACCAGGAAATCTGATTTCGCTGGGATCCTGCGCGCTGGGCACGCCAGCGATTACAAACATGTCTCAGTGCTCTTGAGTCAAAGCGCCGGTGCCAGGCGCGGCCGCCTTCGTGCTTCTGGGCGTCCCGCACCCTCTCGCGCCCCTCCAGGTCGCGCCGGGCTCGTCCCTCCTCGGGAATTCACCCAGGAACCCTCCGCCACCCCTCGTCCTCTCCCCGACCTGGGCCGAGCAACAAGTGGAGCCGGAATTAATTCCATGGGCGAGCGGCGCGGAGGCGAGCGGAGCGCGCCGGCGGCTGGGGAGGAGGCGGGGTGGCCGCGCCGGGTGGGTGGGGGCAGGACGCGGGAGGCAGGGCAGGGTGGGGGCCAAGCCCCGGGGAGCGCGCGAGGGCCCAGCTGGGAAACGCAGCTCCGAATTAACAGCGTATGTTTCATAATCAGTTTACAGGCCACTTTGGGGGAAGCCACTTCCAGAGGGGGAAGGGCCGTCTGGGTCCCCTTAGGGCTCCCCGAAGCCAGACTGGAGTGCTTGGAGGAGACGGGAGGCCCTGGGGGGGGGGAGGGCATGGGGACGGAGATGCGCCCTCCCAATCAAGAAGACTGGTGACAGTGCCCCCTCCCCTGCCAGCGGCCTCTCTTCGGACTCAGTGCACCCCCAGAGAAGGGATGGCACCCCCGAGGAAAGAGGGGGTGTGGGCCCTGCTGTCCTGAGAAAGGCCCTTCCCACAACCCTCCCCCAAATTCTGAATTTTCAGTCTCCCGTTCCCCTTCTGTCTGGTTCCACTGGCAGATGCCACGGAGAAAGGGGCCAGGAAGCTAAGGGGAACTCCAATTTCCTTTGGTCCTGGTCTGGGGGAGTCGGCCACTTAGCTACCGCGGCATTGGAAGCCTGGCCTTGGAAAACACCGCCACCCCAACCGTCCAGCTCCATTTGGACTCGGTTCGGTCAGTTCCGAATGGTGAGGGGTGCAGGGTGAGGCCGGGGCTGGAGACGCGCGGGCTCCGGCTGAGGCTGAAACCTGGATTGCAGGGTGCGGAGGACCCCGGCGGCGAGTGTTCCCGTCGTTAGGAGCCTCGGGGCAAGCAAGGGGCAGCCTCAGAAACTTCCGCTGCCGTCCTACCCACGGGGGACTTCTCCACCTGTAGGCGGCGGCGGCGGCGGCGGAGCCAGGCGCGGCGGGCGAGGGTGCGCGGGAGCGGGTTTCCACAATCCCCGTTTACGTCTCTGCTGAGTGTAAACCCGTCTGCGCTGCGCCGCCCGCAGCCCCTGAGGGAGCCCCTTCCTCGGGAAAGGAAAGGTGAGCCTCCTCCTGGTGGCAGAAGGGCCAGGAACCCGCGCCGTGCAAAGGGTTGAGGGGACCCAGGCAGTGGTGGAAACAGAAGGGGCTCAGGGGCTAGTCACGGCTTCCCTGCCGGTTGCCCTTTTCGCCCGGACACCTCGGGGCTTCTCGGTGAGGAAACGTTTAATGGGATCCCCAGTGCCCGCTAAACAGGGCTCCGCGCCCGTGGCCCACTCGTCCCCAGCCGCCGCAGAGCTGGGGCGCATCCCGGAGAATGGGAACCTGGGGTTTCCCCAGCCCTGGAGCGAGCAGCTCAGTCTATTCTCCCCACCCCCGCCCCAGTGTCAAGTTTCCTCCAGGGGAGGGGTGGGCTGGGAGGTCTGCCTTCGCTCCGTGCGCAGCCCAGGCTGCAAAGTCGACTCTCCCCAAGGGCGACCCCGGCCGCGTGCGCACGCACGCACACACTCACGCTCACGCAAAGGCACACGCTCGCACGAGTTGCACACACACAGGCTCCGATATGCTTGCGCGACTCCTCGGCGGGGATCGGGCCTGGCCGCGCGCACTTTCGGAGCTTCCCAACCGGCGGGGCGGGGCGCGGGCAGCCGAGAAATTGATAACAGATTCTGCGGATTACAGCGGATCTCTTTGTTAGAGGCAAAGCCACACAAACCGAATCCACTCGCAGCCCAACGACTCCGGAGAAAGTCCAACCGTTCCCAGAGCTGGGGCCGAGCAGGAGGGGGCCGCTGGGTCTCTGAGACTCCGGTCTCCCCTGCTGCAGACTCGGGGTAGGCCGGAGCGTCCCAAAGGGGATCCTGCAGGGAAACCTGGGGCGTTGCTTCTCCACTTAACCCCACACGCTTGCCCGGAAACATCTTGGCCCGCTTCCAGCTCCAATCCCAGTGCAACCCAGAAAAGGCCCCACAAGTTTGAGGGGCTGGAGGAACCCATAGCGAACTCACTAATACATACATCACGCCGACTCTTGCAGGGTAAACATCCCTGCCAGTTTTACAGGAGATGTGATCCGAAAAGACAGTACAAAACGACACCTCCCTGGAGACTGGCACGCCGAGGGTAAAACAAAAGTTCTGAGCAGAAGCTGAGTTTGGCAAAAAAACGGACTAAATGTTTTAGGTCCCCGGGAGGCTGGCTTTGTAAGGATCCACGGGATTGCTTCCTAGTGTGTGATGGGAAGGAGGGTTGTGGGCATTTGGGAGGCTCAGGTGCAGGGGAGATGGGGTGGCAGAGGCGCCCCTGAGCCCCTTGTGTCCGAGACAGAGGTGCTCCACGTGGGGGTCTGCTTATTCTCTCTCCTCCAAAGCCTTCGCATTGGACTAAAAGTGTTCTTAATCCCTCTTTATCAAGTGGGGTACGCGCCAGGGGTGACGGTGGCCAAGAGAAGGGAAACTGGCACTCGGGTTAGAGGACATTCCGGCCGCAGAAAGCACCCGGGATTTGTGCGCGGCACCCAAGCCCTCCACCCGCACCCCTTAAGAGAAATTCTAGAACGGAAAGGCAGGGCAAAGACCTCAGCCACCGGCAGTACCTCCCTCGGCCTGGGCATCCCCGTCCACTAGGACTCCCAGGTCTGTGGGAGTGGAAACACCCAGGCAGACCAACTAGAATCAAGAAGTGTGTGTGGCCTGGGCTCGCAGAGGCGAAAAAGATGGGAAACTCCACGAATCCCAGGTCTTGATTGGGAATAAACGTGGTTCCCCCCCACCATGATCTCTTCCTACAGCAAGGAAAACGATGGAGAAAATTGAGGGAGAAAAACTACGGTGCAGACAAAAGTCCACCCCGAGAACACGGAGAGAAGCCGGAGCAGATGGTGAAGGCCGGGGTGGCCGAAGCCCACAGGGGGTGCACTTTGCAGGAGCAGATAAAGAGGCACTGCTCCCCTACACCTCCAGCCTGGGCACTAGGGGGCCGCTGGCTCCTGTCCGCAGCGCAGTGTGTGTGTGTGTTGGGAAAAGGAGCGTAGAGAGGATAGAGGGCCTTCCTTGAGCCCAAATCGGTGCAAGAACTCGGAGCAGCCTCTGACGGCAGAGAGCGAGTCCAGAAGCTGAGAGTGTGCAGAGAACAGTGGGGTCCTGGCCTAGTTTTGCTCCGTATGTCTCCCCTCTCCCATCCCCGGAACAGGGCGCTCAGGACCGCAAGCACTTCCTTCCCTTCCCCTCTCCCCTCATCACCTCCCCTTCCCCCCACGTACACCTCACACGATGTCCCACTTTTCTCGGCTTAGGATCTCAACTGTCCAGAGAAGGGCAGCTAGTGTCCTGTGCAAGGGAAAGAAAATAAAAGACCAGTTCCATCCCCACTCTTAGGAGGCAGTTTCAACTTCACTTTCTAGTAGATTAAGAAACTGAGGTCGAGAAAGAGGGAAGCAACACTCGGCCTGGAGCCCAGAGAGAACTGGCGGCGGCGCGCAGGCCCTACCCGAGGCCGCCTAGAGCGATGCTGCTGCTCCTGCGCCCTGCAGCCGTCCTGCCAGCACTCGCCCAGGCCCCATCTGCTGGGTCGGACGCGTGGCTCCTTCCGCACTGCAGTAGTCACCCAGGGCAGCTCGTCCTCTGAGGGCCTCGGAGGGGCCCTCCGGGGAATGGGACCTGGTGCTCAGGAAGGAAGAGCCAAAGCCAGAAGTGGGAGGAAGAAGCGAGCAGCTAGCTGCCCGCGCGCCCGAAGCCACAGACTCCGAGGCGTCCTACCTCAAAGCAGCCAACAGGGGGCAGCCGGCACCGCACCGCGCGGAAGACAAGGCAGCGGGCAGAGTGGAACTCCGTGCGCACAGCGCTAACCCCTTGTGAACCGGGCGCTCCTAGGAGGGCAAAGAAAGACGAGGGACTCTGGGGCCAAGCCTCCAGGGGAGGGTCCTCCTGTGGGCGGCCGGGCGGGGCTAAGGTTAGTGTGCCCAAGACCCCAGAACTGACCCTTTACCCGCCTCCCCCGTCCCCGCCCCACAGAGGGCAAAGATCCACACACTCAGAAACACAGTCTCCAATGCCTCCCCACCTCCTGCGCGCTCTCAGCATTGCCCCCCGGAACTGCCCTGGCAGAGGCTGTCTAGAACTGCAGGTCCGCATGTGGGTGGAGCAGCCGTGGACGCTGGCGGGAGGGCAGGGGCTGAGAAGGCGCGATCCCACCGCTGGCTCCACGTTATTTCCAAACGGCGAGTAGTTCACTTAAGGGCGAGAGAGGAAGGGGCCCCGATGCCAAACTGTTACTGGAAAGTGGAACAAGCCCGCGAGGGTCTTCAGGTTTGGGTTTCTTAAAAACATTTTTCGGCGGGAAGGGAGAACTTGCTTTTTAGGAAACACCCATCTCCATTCTAATTCCAACGTTATCTTATAGAATACCGAAATGGGGGAGTTCAAGAGATATGGAAATGAGCACCGAAGCGTGGAGGACAGAGGAAAAGTTGTTGGGAAAACAGCAAAGTTACATGGCTGCATGAAATGTTAACTTTTCATAAAAGTGAACTTTCGGTGACCCGAGAAGTGTGTGACTCGGCTTTAACATACAACTGACAATTAAAACAAACAAGAGTTCACACACTGACCCCCACCCGCTTTCCCAACGCGGAGGCCCAAATGTTTCCAAAGGACAAGGCAGATTGCACGCAGGAGGCCGGGGCGCGCCCTCCCGGCGGACAGGCTCAGAGCCACCGCTGCTCGCACTCCCCGCCCCCACCGCCACTGCGAAGTACCGCAGCTCACCCAGGAGGGCTAATAATGCTAATAACAAGACCCCAGCTCCCGCGCCCGGTGCGCGCTGGCCCCGCTGGCCCCCTACCAGGCACTCTTAAAGACATAGGCCCTGCAGCGCAGGGGCTCCCTGGCCTCTGTGAGCCTGCAACCTGGCCTCCGGCTGCACTGGAGGGGAGGGGGTACGCTGCTCTGGGGGAGTCGACCCCTAGTCTGGCTGCCCAGTCTCCCGACCAGGGAGTCCCCTATCCCCTTTCCAAGCCCAGGCCACACACCCTCTCGGTGCCCGCGCAGTGGGCTCTCGGTAAATATTTGTTGAATTGAATCATTACTCTGTTACTGAAATATATATAGTAAATTACACTCGCGTTTCTCAAAGCAAAAGAAAAGTAGTCCTTGAACCGTTCTCAGATTTTCTGCCCTGGCCCTTCCCCACCTTTTGTCCAACAAGGAAAAGGGTTGCTGAACTTTTAGTGCAACAATAACAAGTCTTTTTCGGGGGACAGAGACTGCACAGGGGGTTGTGCGCGAAGGGGTAGCAGGAGCTCCAGCCAGCTACTCGGTAGCTCCAGCCTTTCCAGGCAATCGGACAAATACAAGGATAGGAAGGGGGGAGGGACGTTCGGGTAACTTCCAAAAGGAAAAAAAAAGTAAAGAAAAAAAAGTGGCAAGCGTCCGCAGCGCACAGATCACCTACCTCCATGGCGAGGGGGAGGGGGCGCGGGGAGGAGGCCGCCACCGGGGCGAGGGCAGCCGAGGAATCCGAGCGGGGCGGCCGGGTTAAGCCTGCGGGGACTACGCGGCTCGGAGCGGCGGGTTCCTCCAGGGCGCGGCGGGCAGGCGCAGGGAATCCGGGCCGCGGTCACTGGGCCCGAGCCGGAGCGGCGCCGGGATGCGCCCGGGAGTCGAGGGGGCGCCGAAGCCCGCCGGCCGGCAGCAAAGACCGGGCCCCACCGGCGCGCACGCAAAGAGCCGTGGGTCCGGCGAGGACGCGCAGGCGACTGCTCCGCGGCGAGGCGCTCCCTCTCCAACGTCCATCAGCGACGGCGGTAATTAGGGCTTTCCAACCCCAAATGTGGGCGTGATTGTGCAAAAGACTTTACAACAAATAATAAAAAAAAAATTCTTCACAAGAGGGTGAAAAAAAAAATGCCCCACTACTCAGCTCTGGCCCGGGGCGGGGCGGGGGCGAGTCGCGAGCCCAGGTGCCCCCAGTTCGTTCGCACCACGGCTTCTCCAGACTCCCCGCGGCTCACGCCTCCCGATCTCCTGCGGGCCGGAACGTCTGCTTTCCAGGCGCTGGTCCTGCGGCCGCGAGTGTGCGGACGTCTGTGTTCACACACAGACAGCACACCCAAGCACACGCACAGACACACACACACCCCCACTGCAGCTCTGGGACCACAGTGCGATCAGGCGCGCATGGCTTCTTCTCCGGGAGACGCCGCTGCACAGGCGCAAGTCGCCGTCCGAGTTGCAGGAGTCGGCGCCCACTTTCGTCCTTTCATTTTAGGGTTCGGCAAAAAAGGGGGCCAAAGTTGGGCAGAAGTCCCCGAACGTCCCGCCCCGCGGCGGGGCTGCAGAGCGAGGGGCGAGCGCCGCGGGGGAGACACTGGCTCCCGCCTCCCCGCCCCCTCCTTCCTCTCTCCGGGTTCGTCCCCCTCCTTCCCCGCCTTTCCCGGGCGCAGGGCGAGGCGAGCGAGGGCAGCGCGGGCGCGGGGCTTGGTGGGGGCGAGGCGAGGGCTCCGCGGCCGCCGTGCAGCTCCTGCGCCCCGGGCCGGGCACCTCCTCGATCGGCGCCGGCGAGGGCGGGCGGCGGCGGCGGCGGGAGCAGCTCGCGGGGCAGCGGGCGCGCCGAGCCGGGACTCCGGGCGGCGGAGGCGGCGCCTGGGCGCTGCAGCGGCAGCCACACGGCCCTGCGCCCCGCGGACGGACCGGCCCGGCGCAGGGACCGCGGCCCCCCACCCGCCCCCGGCCCTCTTGGCCGGCTGCCTGACGCGCTCCCTCCCTCTCTCCGGTCTCCGAGGGGGAAAAAAGACTTTTTTTTAAAAGTTGCAGAACCAAAGGCGGCTGGAAAGAGAGAGGGAAGGGGGTGAAAAGAAAGGAGAAAACCTCAAGTTGGCCTATGCGCATGCGTGCTGGGGCCGGCCTATGACAAACTCCGCAGGATTTTAAAGCCGTACCACGGCTGGGGTGCAAAGGGGGTGGGACACACTCCCTGCTCGAGCCCCCTTCTCTAGGCTCCCCATCCCCCAGGCATCTGCTGGAGAGGAGAGGCTCACTCCGCAGCCGCCGCCGGCCGGCCGCCCGCCTGGCTGCGCTCCGGCCAAAGCTGCCGACACTCGGGAGGCGAACCCCAACTTCCCGGTCTGGACCCCTCGGCTCGTCTGTCCCACGCCGCTCCCACGGGGGCTGCTGCCCTGGCATAGAACCTCTCGGAGGGGAAGGGAACCTCCCCATTCATACCCCTGGGGGTAGGTGGCTGGAGACTAGGGTAGGCGCACACACCACGCAACCCCTGCAGTGTAGATTTGGGTATTCGGGTGCATGATGGAGCATCTGGCTGCGACCTACTCAGTGCATTCGGATGCTACGCAAGGTCCTGCTGTGCGGAACATCGCTTAGAAAGCAGCAAAGGTCGGCAAAACCCTGTTCGGCCACTGTAACTTCTAGACACTTTGAAGTCCTGTGGTTGTGGGTACCCCAGCGGGACGGGGCTGCTGGATGTGTGACCCCCCACCGCCAGCACGCCAGGGGCACCGTCCCCAAACAGTGCCCCGCTCTGGGCTTAGTTCTTGTTCTGGGTCTTGCCGATAGGTACGCGAGATTCAATTTCCGCCCTCCATTTGGCACGCACTTGACCTTAAGGGGCCAACTCCTAGCTTGGGTACTTCGGCGTGGTGGCTGTTATGTTCCTTCCGTCCCCCACTCCCACTTCAGCTGATCACCCCAGATTGCTCAGGGAGTGGCGACGGAGCTGCCAGCTCGCCCTTTGCAGTGCCTTCCTGGTCCTCACCTCCCCCAGCTCGCTGCACCCCTCTCTAGCCCTGGCCTCCTCTGGACAGGCACATGGAAAGGGCAGTGTGGGCTCCCCACAAACCTCAAGAGAGGCCCCTGCGCCCTCCAGCCTCACTGTCTTTCTCTGGGCGCGCGCGAAAGCCTCAAGGAGGGGGAGCCCACGGTTACCAAAGCTCCCTATGGGCAACTCCCGCTCACCTCCTAAGTGAGCTTTCCCCTCACCTGTAGGCCCTGACCACGTAACCCGTGGGCATTTTCCAATTTCCCAATCTCATCTGAGCTCTGCCCAGAGGAGGCACGGGTCTAAACAGGAGAGGTCTTTGCCTGGGGACTCGCCCCTGGGCAGCATCCTCCCCAGCAACTCTCTCCCCACCATCTGTTTTGCTCAGCGCCATGGCCTGGGGGCACACCTGCCTCCGGACAGGTGCCCAGCGAAGCCCAGACATCACGCCCAGGACCCAGTACACACGCAAAGGCTCCAAGAAGGGGCAGGAAGTGAGCTAAGAATGGAGCTTCCGAAGGGTGCTGATGCCACCCCACGGGAAAGACCAGGTGATCTTGTTTGTACAAGAGAAAAGCTGCTCCCTCTCCTACAAACAGTCCAGAACCACACACAGGCTACCCATCTGCAAATCTGGTAAAAACTGCAATACACTGAATGATCTGGATAGTAGCCTACTTCTTGCCAACTGCCTTTGCTCTATAGACAAAGCCCAACAGTGTTAGTCCTGCTTGGCCGTCTGTCCTTCCGTGGAAGGTGGTATTAGGTAGTGGTTGGAAGTGTAGGCGCTCTAGGGTTCCAGCCCTGCTCTGCCACTTTCCTAGCTGTGAAATCTCAGACAGATCATTTAGCCTGTCAATACCTCGAATCCTCGTAAACTCTCACATACAGCAAACACCAACACAGAACAATATAATGCCCCATGTGGGAGGGGGTGCAGTGAAAATGACACCATGATGTTGAAAATCAGGGATGTGTTGAGCACAGTCAGGCTCCTGGAGTGCTTAGCATGGGTCAGGCACTCACCAGGCATTCAATACCTGCTCTTCTACAAAAGGCAGCTCTGAAAACAGAGATTTTCAACCTCCTTTGGTGGCAAAACTGGACCTCATGGGACAAGACCGTTTTCAGGCCTGATTTATCCCAGTTCGAGGGACTGTTCATATTTGACACTGAAGAAACATGACCAGCATTGGGTTGCTGGGTACTTCCCCAGGCCTCCCTGGGGCTCTCTGCAAAACCATATACCCAACGTGCTCCATTTTATCTTTCAAAAAATATTCCAAAATTTCCGACAAACCCATCTGGCCACAAGGACTTCAGACAAAGAATTGTGGGTTTTCTCTGACGCTGTGAAGAACGGAGCCTGCTGACAGTATGCCCCACAAGGATGCACAAACTTCCACAACTGTGTTGACCAATTGTTCAGGGCTGTAACTAACCCCTGTCCCACTGTGGGTGTTGATTGATTTGGCTGGAAAATGAGCAGACAGTCAGAAGAAGGGAAACTGATGCCTCCCTATCTCCATCTTTGAAGGTTTTTGATTGACAGACCTCCAGCTGGTGGAGGTCCCCGTTTCCCCCTGCAGCCCGAGTGTGCATTTGGGTATGTACATACAGATTGAGTCATCTGCAGACACACTGGCAAAGCAGCTCTGTGCTCCGCTCATTAAAAATGCTTTTGAGTCTATGGAACACATAAATCAATAGTTTTGGCTGCTCTCCCAACAGGGTTATTTCACAAAACAGAGTGCAAGATAAGGAATTTATGAATGATCGCATCCCTGTGCCGCCTTTTCCAGTGGGAGAAACCAGGGCCGTGGCTGTCATTCTGGGAAAATCTACCCCCCTTTTATGCCCGGCAAATAATATTTTATGGCCCTGGGTTTATGGTGGTGTTTCAATGATCCGCTGTAGAAAGCGGTTTCTCTCCAGTCACTAGCATTTGTCAAGAAGGGCTGGAGGCCATAAAAGAGGGATGGGCCTCAGGGACAAACAGGCTCCATCTTCTGAAATAAACTAATAAAGGGCCCCGAGATGTTTACTCCTTGGCTTCAGAGTCAAGACCAGCCAGGCTGCCTGCGAGGGGCCCGCAGATGTAGCACTAAACAGGACAAAGAGGCCGGAAGGGGGTTGGGGGCTTCCTCGCCACCACATGGCCACAGTCAAAGTAATACCAGCACATTGTGTTGCCACCAGCCACTGGCCTGGGGGGCGGGGAGAAGACAGAGGCTCTCCTGACATTAGAGGACATTTTTGGACCCTGAGCTGACTCAAGGAGACTCCCTGAGAATCTCTGGCTCTCCTAGCCCCAGGCCCCATCCCTGTACTCTCCTCACCTAGGTCCTCTTTCCTTTTATAGTCCCTGGGACTATGAGGGGGGTGCTGAATGGATGCTTAGGTTTTTTGAGTTTTAAGGGACAGCAGGGTTAAAGAGACCTTCATCTGAATCCCAGCTCTGCCTCTTGCTGCCAGAGTAACCCTGCAGGGGTCACTTCCTCTTCTGAGCCTCCATTTCCTCACCTGTAAAGTGGTATTCATTAGGGACGCTCTGACAAGTTGGGATCATGTACAAAAGGCCTCTGCCCTTGCTGATGGCTGCTGTGATTAAGTCAGCCCTCTGGGTGTCTGTCTCTGAGTAAAATCCCAAGACAAATGAGTTGCCTATGGAAGGCAGGAGCAGGGGTCTGGGTAAAGAAGAGAAAAGTGGGAGGCAATTATAGATCATCTGCCCTGTCTGCATGACAGAATTCAAAAAGATTGAGGCCATAAAAGGCATCCACACTGGTAGAAAAAGAAGTAAAATTGTCAGTATTTGCAGGTGACATGAGTGTATATAGAAAACCCTAAAAACGCCATCCAAAAACTTAATGGAGAAATGAATTCAGTAGAGTTATAGAATACAAAAGTCAAAAGTACAGAAATGTGTTGCATTTCTATATACAAATAATGAATTAGCACAAAGAGAAATGAAGAAAACAATCCCATTTATAATTGCATCAAAAAGGGTTCTTTACCTAGACCCCTTCCCCTACCTAGGATAACTCTAACCAAGTAGGTGAAACATCTATACTTTGAAAACAATAAGATATTGATGAAAGAAATTAAAGGTGATACAAATAAATGGAAAAATATCCCATGCTCATGACTGGAAAAATTAATACTGTTAAAGTGGCCATACTGCCCAGAGCAATCTACAGAATCAATGTAAACCCTATCAAAATACCTATGGCATTTTTTTTTTTCAGAGCTTAAGCAAATACTCCTAAAATTTGTTTGGAAACAGCAAAAAGCATCTTTATAATATCATGCTCCCTGACTTCAACCTATAGCTATCAAAACAGTATGGTACTGGCCAAAAAACAGACATATAAATCAACTGAACAGAATAGAACCCAGAAATAAACCCACACCTATATTGTCAATAAATCTATGACAAAGGAGGAGAGAATATACAATGGGGAGAACTCAGTGCTAGGGAAACTGGACAGCTATGTTCAAAAGAGGGAAAACTGGATCACTGTCTTACACCATAAACAAAAAATGTAATATGGACTTAAAGACATAAATGTAAGACCTGAAATCATAAAACTCCTACACAAAAAGATAGGTAGTAAATACTGGAACATCAGCATGAGAAACTTTTTTTTTCTGGATATGTCTCCCAATGCAATAGAAACAAAAGCAAAAATAAACAAGTAGGACTATATCAAACTATGAAGGAAACCATCAACAACAAAGAAAACCATCAACAAAACAAAAAGACAACTTAGTCTATGGGAGAAAA